GTGGTGTATAGATCATGGATGGATGGATAGATCACGGATGGATGTATGACCCTACAGTCAAGTGAAGTACTGTGGCAATAAAGGGCCAAACCACCATGACCACTTGCAAGTGAATGATGTTGATCATCTCATCATGAGCAAACAGTTTATTCTTGTAGTCAGTGTGTTGAATGGAGGGAAGTGAGCAGGTGTAAAGATCCGACACCATGAAAATCCATGAATGGAGAAGAAACAAGAGAAATGGTTTGGTTGATGGTGTCGAATGAAGTTTAATGAGGACGTAAACACTGAGATGACCAGATCACCCAATCCAGATGTTATCAGCCTTTTAAATGGCTGTTATCGTACATCATTATCATACATGTGGACCTTTTTTTTTAATACCTCTCAGTAGTTGTTATTATCTATTCTGATGAGTGATAACAGGAATTAACCTTGATAATGTGGCGACTTTTTGTAGTCGTGCACATGAAATTTCAAAAGGAGTTCAAACCCTGGAAAGCTTTGTAACATGTAGTAAACACAGCCACAGGGTGTATTTTAATCCAAACCATGCTCCTTTTCTAATCTAACCAATTAGTTTTTAGTTAATCAAACAAAGACTGAAAACACAATTTAATAGCAAGCAAAAGCAAAAGTCAAAATGACAATTATGTCAGAAAATAGTTCTGTGAGAATGATGGAAAACAGGATTTCAACTCAAGTCCTCCCCACTGTCCAACCTGAAAATGTGGACATTGCTCCTCTCTGTAGGTGCAAAATTGCAGCTTCACTGCCATAAAATGGGATGATAACATGCTGAGCACAGCACAGGGTGGAAGAAATCTCTACTGTCCCAAATGTATGGATGTGATGAGCCAATGGGCGGAAAATGTCCAAAACAGGTGACAAGGTTGTAAAAAACTGAGGAGGTCTTTGATGACTGTGAAGAATTACTGCTTTAAGTGTGACTTTTATTTTGAGATGTGACTTCTAAAGGATTCACTTTTCAATCACATTACATGGACTTGATATATGGAGATCTCACCCTGGTGGTGCTCAGGTGTAGTTTAGTGGTCCAGAAGCAGCATGTTTAATAGAAGACATCAAGAGAGCATTGGAGTTGTGAGTAGTTGAGAGATGGAGGGAGGCTAGAGGAGAAGGAAAGGAGGTCTGGGGGAGGGAGGGAGGCTGGGAATGGAGAGTTATTGGAGGTGAGAAAAAAGGGTGAGGAGGAGATGCCTTTTAAATAGAGGATTTTAGCGAGTCGCTGCATCTGACAGAGACCTCTGATGCTCTGTGCTGGTAGACATCAGAGTGATGCAAACACTGAAACGAGGAGGACACATCCAGAGATCACACCAGCCATTCTGGTGTATTTCTTCAGGAACGTTTGACATTTTTCATCTCATAACTCTTTCTGTTAAATCATCCTTCATAACCGAAAATCCTGTATTCAGATTTCACTGCCTTCCTGCTCGTCTGATGCTAAAAGGGAAACATAAATATTGAGAGGGTTACGAGTTGAATTCCCACAGGGATCAGCCATGCTAAAAGTGTGTGTGTCAAACTTGTTTGCATGAAAGCGCTTAGATAACAGATACAGTCCTTTTTTTCATGGCGAATTACCAACAGAGTGGCATGAAAACACTCCGCAAAGGTCGCACTGGTGTAGTTCAGCTCCTGCGTGTTTTACAGTCTGACCAGTCCAGATTACTGCAGGTCAAACCAGCATGTACCACACCGAGGAAGGATAACACAATTCTGAGGCCTGCCCGGCTGGTTTTCTGACACAAGTGCTGATTCTGCACGGGATGTGCTCATTATTTCCAAAATCCCGCTGTCTACTGGTTTGGTTCGGCCAATTACTAGACATTCAAACCAACCAACCCCGTAACACAGCCAACCTAAGCCAGGCTAAAGATCAGGGCCATGTCTGACTCTCATTTTTTGTCTCCTTTTAGGTAATCCGTTGTTGCTTCGCCATATTCGCTGATTTATTCCATTTTATTCTTTAACACTGTTGTTCTATATTTACTGCGCACATCCAGTAGGTTTGATTCTTTAACTTTTTACTGCTCCTGATGATGTTGTTCTTAAATTCAATTCTGTAAAAGAGCTGATATCACATCACCTGCTGCAAAATACTCATTAAGGTGGCAATAGGCAAGTTTTGCATTAACTTACCGCAATGAAGCAAATGGTGATGGCACAATGTAATGGATGCACAATAATGAGACAGTACGGCTCAACTTAAGGCACAAAGAACAACTGGAAGAAGTGTGGAAACTCTGCTTGGCAAAAATAAGCAAAGATGGAGAGAAACCAAAAGTCAAAGTCGTCTGTTGCCACTTTTCATGTTTGTCTGCTTGTGTTTGGTTTGATACGCCATTTTTTGCTGCAGTTCCAGCATCACATCCATGTTCTGCTCAATACGGTGAAATCAAATTTCCCACTTTAATCCAGAAATAAAATGCTCTATTCAAACCACACTGGTGTCGTCACCCATGTGACACTCCCGAAGCCTGCCCAGGTTTGTCCCCGCTCACGTTTCTCCCTTTCACCCTTTCTCCGTCTAAGACAATTTGTTCTGAGGTCCGAGCAGTGATCGCTCAAGTATTAAAAAGGCTGACAGTGAGTTCACTTCACAAGACACTGGCTGTGAAATAATCTTCTCCTCTGAACCCCTTGGATGGGTTTTAATAGAAGGGGATCGAGACACATGAAATGGTCGCAGCATCATTGCAGCTTTGCCGAACTTTGAGTCAAAACTTATGAAGTGTCAGACTCCACACGGGGAAGTGATGTGTGCTGGCCAATATTGAGTACAGGAAGAGTTTAGAGGGGTTTTTTGTTATTGACAGTTTAGACTTTAAATTTGGTGAGTTGTCATCTTTGCTAGTAAAAAAAAAAAAAAAAGCTAAAACACTGTTACTTGCTTACATCCAAAAACAAGAACTGATTAAGTCAAAATGTTATCAGGAATTTCAAATCTGCCCCAGTTGAGACCTTATAATGTGCTGTGCTAGAATGGAAAGCTCGACATATTAGGCAACATTCAACACCTGCCAATGCTTAAAATAATAAACACTGTTGTGATACCAAACTTGGCAACTCCACTGTGGTGAGACGTCAGTTATCTGACCGGATCTCTGCACCGAGCTGTTGTTCACCAGCAGATAGTGGTGGAAAGTAACTAAATACATTTACTCGAGCTTAAGTGAGCCTCCAAGTGGTTGCTTTTCAATGTACCCCGGGTTTTAACTGATTTGGCAAAAACTGCACTTTTCTACTATGGTTTTGTAATAATCTGCAGACAGATCTTTGATTAGAAACAAAATAAATTCAAGGGCATCATAAAGAATGTGGTGGCGGAGATGTGATTGTTTTTCTTGAGAGGTCCACTATGATTTAATAGTTATTCTTGTTGTTTTATTTGTGTTTGTTGCATCTTAACATGTTGTGACTGGCTGCTATCTTGGCCAGGTCTCTCTTGTAAAAGTGATTTTGAATCTCAATGTGACTTCCTGGGTAAATAAAGGGTAAATAAAGGTACAAATTTGAGGCACATGTAAGGAAATACTGTACTTTTCATTCTAGTAGATGTATCTGGCAGCTTTACTCACTTTACAAATGAAGTTTTTTGACCAGTGATGACATTGCAAGCTTTATAAATACATTGTTAAAGGTCAAACTAATGGTTTCTGTCCTTTTAAGCTTCTGACATCTTACAAAAAGCAGTGTGGTGTCACGTTTCGGATGTCAGCGAGTTATTAACAGCTCCACCAAACAGTGTTTTTCCCTTTTGAACATGGTTTCATTTTGACAAATATTCAAATGATCCCATGTCCTGCCAAAAATTAAATAACAGAGGAAACTGAAATCAGATTTGTGCATCAGAATGTTGCTTTTTCTTTCAGTCCTCAGCTTCTGTTCCTGTATATAAAAATGAATGTAAAGTAGTTAAAACCTGCAGAAGCTACAACAATGACATGTTGCTGTCACTCTGATGCTTCACAATTTATAATATAATCATGCCAGATATAATAATATAGCAGCCACAGGGACTAAACCAGGACTGTAAGATTCAAGAGTTTTTATTTGCCACGTGCTCATACAGTATGTGCAGTGAAATGCAATAACAATAAGACATTATAAAGAGCATTCTTTTAAAAAAAACTATAGAAAAACAGGAAAAAGTCACATAAATAATAAGGATGTACCCCTCATCCATGTTGCTGCTAATACAAATGCTTTTACTTAAATAAAAGCACCAATACATCAGTTCACTCCTGCATGAAAACTCCTCCTTAAGTCTGAATCACACTAATAACTGTTTGTACATTTTGATTGGTTTTCCTACTTTTAAGAATCCACTCATGAAATCATTTGATTTGTTAAAGAATAAAATCAAAAAAGCACAACAAACATGAATGAAATCAATATAACAAACATCCATGACATGAAATCACATTACTGCGCCTAACTGTTATCGCCACGGAACGATAAAAATCTCCCAACCTGGAGTTCAAACGATCCATCTGTGTCGACTGCTCTGAATGTGCAATCTCAGCACACCCGGCCTGATCCCAGATATCAGCGGCTGTGGCTGAGTCTGACCTTAAATCGGGCTTTGAGGTGCACATGGTGACCCAGACATCCGTTCAGCCTCCTCTTCCTGCTCCCCACAGGCTTTTAGAGGAGTGTGACCTCACCATGAGGAGAGAGGCTTTTTCCAGCTGTCGCCAATGTTTTCTACACATGCCTCCTCGATCCCTCTGCCCTCCTTTTTTTTTTTTTTTTGCCCTATATAACTTCACAGTGCCTCCTCTCCTTCCTCTAATGGAGCAGCCTGGGTGACATGGAGCTCCTCTTGTCTCTAAGATTTACACGTGTTTACTTCACTTCCTGATGCGATCTGGGAAAGAGGGAAACCCAAGCTTGTGTTGTCGTCGTCTTCATTAAGTGTTTAAGAGGAAAATATGTTTGTGACTGTTTTCTGTGTCTCTTGTTGTGTCCAGGATCTTGAGGGAGCATTTAGGGGAGAAGGAGGTGCAGCTTTCTCTGACGTTTGACGCTGTGGACGAGGCAGACCTGGCCAACTACACCTGCTACGTGGAGAACCACATAGGAAGGCGTAGCGGGAGTGCTATACTGCAAAAGAAAGGTACTGTTTCGCTTTCCTTTTCTGTTTAATTATTTAAAAAATAGGAGGGGGAGGGAAAAAAAAACAACCTTAAATGTAGCAATAAAAAACTGCTATGTCATTATCATCTCATTATTGTTGCCTTTCTTCAAACAATAAATCTGTGGGAGCGACAGCTAAAATGACAAATTATCAGAAGCAGTTTGTGGATAAATTGCTCATTAAAGCAACCAGCAGCATATGGTTCACATTTGTTATTTTGTCTGCATCACTCCACTTGTCTGTACGACTGGAAACCATCATCAACATCATCATAACCCAAAATGTAATTACCAAGCCCCTTAAGCAAAAAAAAAAAAAAAAAACAGCAGATTGTGTATAAAAGATGGATGAAGCTGCCAGGTCTGTAAAGTGAAGCCAACAAAGGAACGCCTTGAACCTGCGTTCTGTCTGACAGCCAGCAGGGGGCGACTCCTCTGGCTGCAACATGAAGTCAGATTATATAGAAAGTCTGTGAGAAAGTGGCACAACTTCTTCACTGATTTGTTACCTCAGTTAACATTTTCCTAATAGGTTTATGGTTTCAGTCACTAGTTTAAACACTTTATGAACACAGCAAGGTGATGATTTTATAAGTTATGGTCTCATTTAGCATGAAATAGACAATAAAGCAGGGTGTGTTTTAGGCCCTTTTCTTGCTTGTTACATCCAGTTTCACAAGATGGCAACAGTCAAATTCCAGACTTAAGGCATTAAAACAGCAATCTACAAAAGAGTGAGTGACATTATGGTTGCTACGTACATCTTTTATAGACAGTCTATGGCAAAAACACAGTTTATGTTTTACAAGGGAGGAAATAAATGGGGCCCAAGATGGAGCCTCAAATCTGCGTGATGTTGTGATAGAAGCTGAACATTCACACTGAGGATGAGGTAATTTTTGGGAAGATCAAGCTATTTTGGTAACACTATGCATCTCCTTACATCCATGTCAACTTGGGAATAAAAACATCTGACAAACTTAAAATTGAGAACCAACCTACTGTACTTTTTTGAACAAATATTCCACTATTAGGATTGTAAATCGTACACTTACTCAGTGGCTCATATTTAGAGGTTGTTGTAGGCATGTTAGGCTGATTAACAGCAAAGACAATTACAGTGCTTGTTGTGTATTTCAGTCATACGTACATGTGTTTAGGTAAACTGCCGCTACAACTCCTGAATTTCTGACACCCAGTTTTATTATATTTTGGAGAAAAGTTGCGAAACCCGACAGCTGGGGCCTGTCAGTGAGCCAGGATGTTAAAGAGCGACCCATGCCAGTAAAAACTGTGGATTTTTTTGACAGTCCACCAGCCCATGAAGTGTTGGCCAATGGCTGCTCCACTGTGGCCAAGTGTCTTTTTGACAGACTGATGGCAGCATTAAAGTGGGCTCCTATAGCTTCTGTCAACACTTACCGAGGATGGGGCTGTGTCGACCTGAGGCTGGGCTGTTAGAGTCGCTGGTGAGCTTTCCAACCAGTACGTCTGTTTTCAGCTGTGACTATAGTTTAACAAAAAAAAACACCGTCCTCGATGCTCAGGCCTGGCAGATCTACAGGCTTGAAACACACTGGCAGAAATCTGGTTATGTTTTCGGTTCATCCGGTTTTTCTCTCTTGACTGAGATCAACAGTGAACTTCGTCCATTTCTTGCAGACTCAGAGAAGGTGGTTCTTGCTTTTAGACTTTTTCCAGTAAAGCAGGAATACCATCCATCCATCCATTATCTATGCACCGCCTAATCCTCACTAGGGTCGCGGGGGGCTGGAACCTATTCCAGCTGACTTAGAGTGAAGGCAGGGGACACCCTGGACAGGTCACCAGTCTATCACAGGGCTACACTTAGAGACAGACAACCAAGCACACTCACATTCACACCTACGGACAATTTAGAATCACCAATTAACCTCAACATGTTTTTGGACTGTGTGGGAGGAAGCCGGAGAACCCAGAGAGAACCCACGCTGCACGGAGAGAACATGCAAACTCCACACAGAAAGATCCCGGTGCCCCCACGTGAACTGGTGACCTTCTAGCTGCGAGGCAACAGTGCTAACCACTGCACCACCTTGCAGCCCCAGAAATACAATCATGTCAAAGTATTCCAACACACAATGGAATCACCAACTAATCAACAATAACATTCAGTAGAAACTTTGGTCATTCATTTTCGTCACCAACGTTTTCATTATTCATCGCACTCTGACTTGTTTGCTTTAAAAAGTCCAACATCAGCGTAGAATCACTAATGCTGGTGCATGTTATATAGTTAGAGGCACATTGTGATCAGTTCAGATGAGCAAAAACATAAAAAAGCAGAATGACATGGCACACAAGACCCTCTTCAATGTTCAAAAACACCGACCTACCAATGCATTGCATCTCTACTCATCCTCTAGGATCATTTTTACATTCCTTCCTATGAGATACAACATGCTAGTAAACTTTCAAGGTGCTAATAGATGGATTTTTGAACCCCTCTTCACCCTAAACTAAATGAATTCCCTCCAAACTCTCGCTCAAAATAATTAGAGTAATGACATGACATTGATCTTCTTATCTAAGTCTCAGCGAGAAAGCCGACAAGTGAATTTCCCAAAGTGTCAGAGTATTCTATTAACTAAACCAAACATTAGAGGAATGCTCAGTTTGACTGACACGCCTATATCCTACTGTCAAGAAGATATGCGCTAATAAACAATAAGTCACGTTCTGGATTCAGAGCTTCCACAGCGTCTACTCCCAAAAGCAGTTTTTCTCTTTTTTTTTCCTCCCCCCCACTCTTTCTTGCTAAATATAAAACCATGTCTGCTCGAGTTACCTGGGACATATCCTATCTCTCTTTATGATTCTGTTAACAAGAAATACCCCTCCAGCTCGGGAACCGATGCCACTTTTATGGCCCAGTAAATATTTGTGGATGCGAACAGCTCCCAAGATAATTAAGACTTTAAACGAGCTTAATTTTTGAGTAGCTGCGTCTGAACAGCTGAACGAGATAAAGCGGTGGCACTTTTATTATCTCAGAAGGAACAAGTCATAGTGTTGGACTCTGTTTGACTGACAAGCAGGTTCCAGAAAGTGAAATAAAAATAAAAAAAATCAAGAAAGAGAGAGACAGAGAACACCACAGCAAAGAGCTTCACAGATGGAGACCAACTAAAAAAAAACAAAAAAACAAGATAGTTACAGCTTTAAATATTCAGCTGAAAAATGCACGAGGGCACAACTCCTTTTGTAAAACATTTGCAGCAGTACTGCGGTATCTTGCTTTCCATCTGATGAGCAGAGAGAAAGGGCCCGTTTGAGTCAGAGGCCGAGACCCGGAGATAGAGGAAGAAACCTGGAGAGACGACGAGGAACAGAGAACAGTGCAGCAGCGCCGGAGGAGGAGATGAATCGTCTCCGTTACCTCGAATCTCGTTGGGAGAGAGGGGCGCGCGAAAGGCCACTATATGAAATAAATAAAAATTATTCTTTTTAAAAATAGGGACAGGAGGGAATTGGTGGAGGGAGAAAAAAAAAAAAACAAAAGATAAACAGGCAGAGGAACGGCGGGAGGCGGAACGAGTCAAGAAAACAGAGAACAAGGGAGAAGTAATAGATGCCGACAGAGATAAAGACGGGGAAGGTGAGGGGAGACGAAGAGGAGGGAGAACGGGGAGGACTAAAAACAGGTCTTTCTCTCTCCCCCTGTCTGACTGCTGCTGAATGCCTTGGGTGTCGAATCTATCTTACTATACTTAACTAGCACCCCGGGGACCCTCGCAAACAGACTCACACACCTCCAGAGGGGGTCAGGACGAGGGTTGTAGGGTCCTCATTACTTAACAGCTTAATTACCGACAGGAAGCTGCACACGTTTGAGGAAAAGATGTCAAATAAGACAAGAAGCAGCTTTGGAGAGTATTCTGTGTTGGATCAGGCTGGACAAATATGCACAGAAACACACACACAGTTTCCTCGTGGGAGGCTTTAAGGTGTAAAAGGATCGTTTAAAATCACTGTCATGGTACGAATACAAATGCACACGTATGGAAACGCAGAGATGCACAGACGCAGGTATCGGTTCAAAGTGTTCTAGTCAGCGCCGCCTGCAGAAGCAATTCTATGTAGCTGCACGACTACTTTTAAATGAGATCACCTAGAAAGTCTGGCAGAAAACTCCTTCATCAGTCATACCCACGACAAATTTAGGTTTATGGTGATTTTTAATGTGACCAAAGGGTTTCTTCAAACTGGAAATGACACAAACATGTGACAAAAGTTATTGATAAATCCTATTTCTGCTAAAAGTGGTATGTCCAAAATTATTTCTAACCATTCTTAGCAATCAACACATCAACCACCACATCACAGTTCTAACAATCCCTAACCAGCTTTCTGCATGTCTCCACTCGTGTTTTCTTCCTCTTTTGCAATGATCTCCAAGTCTTCGAGGGTTGAAGTCTTCCTCTTCATCACACCGGTCATCAATTCCCTCCATAGATTTCTGTTAATTGGATACAGATCTGGACTCTGGCTGAGCCGCTTCAACACGTTCACATTGTTTTCTGTTAACTATTTCTTCACCACTAAGACTGCCTGTTTCAGGTCATTGTCTCATTAGAAGGTCAAAGTTTTCCTGCAGACATATTTTCCTCCAGAATCTTTCATATCGTCCTCTTTTTATCATGATGTAGTTTAGTTTGATCAAATGGTCCATTGACTGATAAACACCCTAAAAGCATCTCCTTCCCAGGTTTGGGGTTGATTGATTCTCTTTTCTTTCCACAAACCTAAAACACGTCGCTGTGTCCAAACAATTCAATTTTTATCTCATCTGAGCAAAAGCTTTCGTCTTTGTCCAGACTAGGTGAGCTTTTGTGTTGCTACCTTGGAGAAGTAAAGTCCTCCTTGGTCACCATGGAGACCAGCCTTGTTCAGCATCTGTTGGTGTTTCTATTTGAGACGTTGCCACCAGAATTGTTGACA